AAATGGAGTATAAGGATAATGGTGTCTTAGATTTAGTGTGAGTGTGTAGCTTAAAGGTGCTGAGTCAGCAGTGAAGGTCTACTCTGAAAACAGTGTGTATCCATGGCAGTACATTGCAAGCCACATGTCTCCACCTATTTAGCGGATACAAATTAAGCATTCCAGAAGTGGCAATGCTTGACAGCCAAATGCATAAAATAGTAAACAATTGACAATCAAAATAAAGAAACAGCTGTTAGTTTCTTTTTGTATAAAATTATATGTAATTTACAATGAATGCCAATTAAAATTATTAACCAATATGCATAAATTTTCTTTGTCTTATTGTCAAATAGCTATGTAGATTGTCATATTTTCTTAATTTTCTGAAATGATTTCTAAAGTTCTTCCCCTTACTGTGATTAAACCTTAACCATGAATCAGTAAATATGTGTGCCTTCTGCTCCGTAAAAGGTAAGACTATTAACCAAAAAAAAAAAAAAGAAAAAAAAAAAAAAAAAAAAAAAAAAAAGCCAGAAGTTATTCTTTTGATTGTGCCTGATCCAGCGCAAGTGTTTATTTCCATTAAATGTAATGATTACAACAAGAATTCAACTGAACTTGATCTTACAATCATCAATAACCACTTAGATTAACATGTTAAAAGCTTTAATGTACAGAGACATGACAAAATGTAATTTTAAAAGCAGTGACGTCTCATTTTGGTTGTTGAGAGGAAAGCGGTAAGTTGTGGATGAATAGTAACTGTCAATTCAAAGCTGGAAGTGTCACTGTTACTATGTAGTATAATGACTTGCTGTATATATCCCTTATACCAAGAGCACAATCTCATTTCATTACTTCTTCCATACAACTTGCCGTCCTCTTGGTAATTATTTCAATCTAAGTGATGATAAGGGGTTCATCGTTTTAAGTAGTAATTTGTGATAGTATGAGATTCCAGTCCTCATTTTCACAAATATAACAGCTATTTGTTTTTTTTAAATTGTATTAAAGAATGTAGTAAAACCTTGCTTTATCAACCAACAGTGCTCAGTCATTTTATCAACTAGACATTCACTTTATACAGTCTGAAATGAATAAACTATCTTAGTGAAGTACAGATCAAGGGTTTTTGTATCTAAAACTACAGATTTTGAAAAAAAAAATCTCACTTTTTACTCTCCTAAAGCTTCATTATTACTGTTATTTATTAACTAATACAGGTTACTATTGTTGAAGCTTTATTATTACTAATAAACGCTTTATATCTCAGAGATGAAATTTTTCTCTTCAGTGAACAAACCTTTACTGAACATCTGCTGTGTGCTACTTTTATGTATTGAGCTGAGACAAACTAAGATGGCTCTGCCCTAAATATGCACAGAGACTGTAATCACAGTGCAAAGGAACAAACGTTTAATGTCAGTGCAGGCTGCCCTGTGAGCACAGAGCAGAGATGCAGGACTCAGAATGGCTGAACAGGGTTCTGAACGATGACAGACAGTGCTTGAGAGCACAGATCAGGGGAGACAAAGAAGAGTTAGGAATGTACAGGTGGCACGGGAGGAGGGCGTGAAAAGTCAGCATAGTGAGGTCATCAGAAACACAGGCTCTGGAGACAGACTGCCTGGGCTCTACTTTAGGCCATTAAGAAGCTTCACTATGCCTTGGTTTACCCATATGCAGAGATGACATAATGGGAGCATCTACTTTAAAAGGCAGATTGAGTTAAATTTTTGTTTTGTTAAAAAAAATGCATATTACAAACTGTTCAAGTGTTTGTTATTAGTAAAGTTGGAGTACAAGATGCTTTTGAGGGCAGTGACAGAAAAGAATGCAAGCCTGGAAAGTAGGATGGGCCACAGATAAGAGGCTAATGATTAACTGAGAAAGAGAAGGGGCTCATTTCTGAGTGTTACTCATGTAAAGGGTGACATGTCATTAGTGTGAGGCTTTGAGAAAGACTGGTCAGCCACAGGGAGACTACTGGGGAATGTGACAAGGAACAGACATATGTGTCAGGAAGCTCTGGAAAGAGTCTGGGGGAATTACTATGAATCTGAATCAGGACACTAGGTTAGCTATGGAGGGGGAGGGGTTAACCTAGGAAATACCTTGGGACTTGGTGGCTCACAGGGTGACCACAAAACAGCTCAGTCACAGGTGAGAAAGTAACCAAGCTGAGCTGAGAAAGAGAATGCTTATCTATTTGATTGTAATTTTCAGGCACACAGTAAGTCCCAGAAAGTTATTGTCTTCCCCAGTGAAACTGCCTTTGCTGCTTTGTGTGTGTGTGTGTGTGTGTGTGTGTGTGTGTGTGTGTGTGTGTGTGTGTGTGTGTGTGTGTGTAACTAGTTGAGAGGATTTGATTTTGGAAAACAAAAACAAAGGCTCCAAGAATTTAATCTGGTTGCAGTCTTGTCATTTGGCCTTAAAGGTTCTAACTCTGAGACCTTGACTTTAAATGACAATGTTAAAAATTTGGAAGATATCTTTTGGTAATTTTGCTTTAGTTTTCTTCATTGAGAATGCAGAGCCTTCCTGGCTGGCCTTGCTTTCCCTTGGTGCTATGTGATTCTCTGACATCAGCACAGATCTATTCAGCCTTGACATATGATACTGGCTGGCATGAAAAAGGAGGCAGAGATGAGTGAGTGTACCAGCAGGACATGGCTGTGCTCAAGAGTAAATGGCATCTGCAACACGCATTCCTTGGAACCAGGGTCAGAAAGGGCTGCTTCCTCTGTTTAAAAAATGGCTGAGTAACTTTTATACATTGAGTAGAAACTATGAAAATTATACACGTGTGACTATGACATACCAGAAAGTATATTTAGTAATAAGGTGCATTTATTGCTAAATTTAGTAATAAGTTCTTCCTTTGTTGTTTCTGTTTCCACCTCTGTGTGTATGTATGTAATGTGTATATGCATGTTTTGATGTAGGCTTGGCATGGGGTCAGTGCCACAGTCAATGTGGGGAAACAAGCTTAAGAACTGGTCCTTGCCTTCCACACATTTGAACCAGGGTTTCCTGTTGTTCGCTACTATATAAGTTGGACTAGCTTGTCCAGAAGCTTTAGGATACTGCTCTATGTCTGTCTCCCATCCTCCACAGGAGCACAGTGTGATTACAGATGCCTCAATGCTGAGAGTGCCAGGCACAAATAGCAATCACTTACCCTCTGAGCTATATCCCCAGCCTGGCAAAAACTTGTCCACTGAGCCATATCACCAGCCTTATCCCTTCTATTTCTAGATATAAGGTGTCATATGTCTATGGCATACATTCTGAGGTAGTAGGATGACTTGGTTTAACTCCTGAGATGTTTTTGTAATGGTTCTACACTCTGTATATGGCAAACTTCTATTTAGAAGACTGAATATCTTCCTTATTCTTGGAGAATGATTAAATTTAGCAGACTGCCAGGCAATTAACAATAACAGCAGAACTGAACAATCAAACACTTATTTTCAACATCAATTCTAAAGCATCATTGCTATTAAAGGGTAACAAGAGGCCATTTACATCAAAGTTTTGTAATCCAAAGATTTTTTTCCTCCATATTTACAAAACAAAAACAAAAAAGCATTTTCTTAGTGTTTACTTCCACTACTAGTTGTTCCTTTAATAGTAATCAAGCTGGCTTAGTGAAATGTTAAAGTCATGACATCTAGACTACTTTTCTTAGCTTATGACTTGGTCCTTCTGACTACTCAACCAATCCTTTCCCTCCTCTCCTAACCAGTGTGTGGCCAGGACTTCAATCTAGGAAACACCTGTCTAGTCTTTTTGTGGTTTTTGAATTTTGAGGTTATTAATTGCAAAGTATTTTCTGCAGTGAAAAAAAATCAAATATGATAATGTCAGTGTCTAGAAAAAGACTATTGATTCTGCTTACTAGTTTGGGTCTACCCAATCTTTAAAAATTTATAGATAGGGAGCTACAGTTATTCCTACTCTCTGTATAGTTTTAGTAGTTCTGCACAACTTACTGAAGCAATAAAAAACAATACCCAGAAGAGACACCATCTCCAGCACATGTATGTATAAAAATGTTTTTATATGCCAATTTTCCCTATCTTCTTTCTTATAATTAGCAGGCTATTATATTTGACCCGAGAAAAGTGTTTTAATGAGGCTGTCCATGCATATTTCAATAAACTTGATTTTTTTGACACTTCAAACATAACCCTGTGTCATTCATGCCTGCCTCCTATTTTAAATTTATAGCATGTTCCAGCTGTAGAAATCACCATGGTTACTTCTTACACTAATAGTAAACTAGAGTTGGCACCTAAAAGTATTGTGCTATATTATGTATCTGCATTGTAAAGGAAATCAACATCTCAATAATTCCAATATTATAAGTTAATTTGAGAACCTAAAGAAATGTGAATATGAGACAATTAGTCACTGTTGAAGATAATCTTAAGAGATGAAATGTATTTAAAGGTTTTTGTGACAGCATAGTCTATTAAGGTTCTTTCTCTGAGTCCTCATGTTAATGCCAAATATGGTTTTATTAGCAATATCATTGAATGATTACAACCTCATTCCCATTGTTTCCTATGTACTCTTTTTCAGAATTGTACCAGATATCAGTACTTTGGGCAGACATGACTGATTCAATTAGGAACTGATTAACAGAGAGCATGAGGAGTATGGCTTCCCTAAGATACTCTTGCCTAAAGAGTGGTATTAGGGACGGAGGTGATCTGATAAGAATCTACAATTCTCTGCAGACCAGTTGAAGTTATTTTACTTTATTCTGAGATGTCTCTTACTGTAGAAGTAACACAAATACATTGTCTTCATTATTAAACTGGATGCAACAGTTCAGATTGATGTTTGCATTGCCTTGGCTAAAGCTGTACCAAGGAAGACTCTAGTTAATACACAGTTCCTTAAGTTACTGCTCAACCACTCCCCCTTCAGAAGGAGCTTTAGAATGTCTTGGAAATCACCCATCCACTATGGCCAGTGCCACATGCTGTAGTGTCGAGGTCTGTGCTTACCTGCACTGGTGCCTGCACCGGATGTGAGGTCTCCACCCATCAGACCACCTATGGGGTAAAGAGGAAGATCAAAAGGAGAAAGGCTAAGGGTCAAAGGAACAGAGCACAGTGCCATCAGCACTCAGCAGTTGTCCTCTCCTGTGAGACAGTCTTAAAAATGTTCTACCTAAGGCGGAGGGCTGACATTTGCTTTATTGTGACATGCTGTGCACAAATGTTAAAAATGCATTCACTCACTGACATTTTGCAGAATTTTTTTCTAGGAATGATTACCCTAGAAAACTACAGGCTGGGAATTGTCTATACATTATTGTTTTCAAGTCTAGTTTCCTTCTAAAGAGGTACTTCACAGCAAATAACAGGAAAACCCCACTTTATTTCCACATATGCCTTGATGGCCACACATCTGATGTCTAGCTTCTTTCTAAGTAATTTTATAGCATCAATTTTGTGCAATATTAATTGATTAGAAATTTTATTTTATCATAAGTTGACTAATATTTCTAGTTGAATTTTACTTAATGAAATAAGAAGCTTTTACTGTCACATGTTTAAAATATGCTAATTCCTTGCTAATTTAAAAAACAGTATAAAATCTTGGGCTGGCAAGATAGTTTAGCAGGTTATAGTGTTACCATAAAGCATGATGGCCTGAGTTCCATTTCCTGAACCCACATATGGAAAAAAACTAATTCCTTGACATTGTCTTCCTATTGCCACACATGGGCAATGGCACTTGCATACCCCCATCAAAATCAACAAACAAATAAATAAGTAGATTAAGTGTGATAATGGCTATGTTTCTTAATGAGAGTTGTGAACTTTCAATAAGACTGAATATAATAAGTATTTAAAACTTTTAAAGAACAAGATCTCGAAAACAAGTGGCAATATCATCTAATTGTGATTTCTTTTCGTTGTTTCTAAGAGATGCTTATTGTTATTAATTGGTTCCAGGTTTTGGAATCAGAAAAGATGATTAATCTATTTTAAAAATTGTGGCTATTTCCCACCAAATGCAGTTTTGAAGACAAAGTATCAAAATTAAAACAATAAATGAACATGAATTATCAAATAAGACATTCAAATACATCTAAATATGATCAGAAAGGAATTTATATGGCTATTAAAATTTATATAAAATTCAAATCATATTTTAAAAGGAAGAATGGCATAGTGAACCCTCTTGTACACACTTCTCTGGTTCAAGATTTATCATTCTTCTAGAGGAAAACGTTCTTCCATAAAGAAGCTGCGCTTAGTATAGTTAAACGTGTCTTAGTTATTGAAAATGCCCTGTGGAGTGCTCCCTTAAAGCCAGAGTGTAAATACACAATGGACTGCTGCATGAGATTTAGAAATACAATTATGTTTGATGCTGTTTCTGGAAATATGAAGGAATGGCTTAGTTATATTCAGTGCTCACTGAATCAGCTCCCACTGTGAGCTTGGTAAAGCAAATGGGCATTCTTCCTTTCAAGATCCTTCAAGTCCAGTAGAGAAAAAGACACATATTCAATACGTACATCACAACATATTTAGCTGGATTCTCATACAAAGAATGGCTTCTTTTTCTGAGCAATAATTTCATGTCTCTAGGTCATTGTGAATTGAACAGCAGTAAGGATCTTTTATAATGCAGAGGCAAATCTCCAGTGAATGTACCTGAGTATGTGACATGCCCTTAACTGCATTTCTGACTCAGCTGTGTCCTTATTTCATACTCCTTATAAGTCATGCTACTGTACCACACAGTTCTTTTCTACCTTATATTAATTCTGGGGATAAGTTGTCTCAGAAAAAAAAAAAAAAAAAAAAAGACCCAAATAGTTACGTATAGGGACAGATGCTACAGGAGAGAACACAGAGAGTAGTTTTACATAGGAGGAGACATTTCCATAGGAAGAAGAGATGTAGATGAGACAAGGAACAAAAGTATGTGGACTAAATACTTGACATATAGTTTGAGAAAGTATGTGGTTAAAATATAGCCACTGGAGGAGGTAGTTGACACCCAAATATGGGGTAGGAAATACTTTGAAAGAGACTCTGGAGAACTTCAACTGAGTCACACAGAGTATCTAGTAAGGTACAGATGATAATGAATGAGAGGACATAAATGGCAAACCAAAATGCACCTCCTAGGTAAGGAAGCTTTTGCTAGAAGAGGTTCCCCCCAACAACGTCTTAACATTATGGCCTTTGAAGGACTTACCTGTGTTACCTGCACTCGGAGGTCTATGTGTTACACCAGGAGACATACTATTTCTCTGCAGAGAAGGGTGAGCCAGTGGCAGAAGGTTCGGGTTTCCCAGTGAGCTGACAGGGTTGCTGTATACCAAACTGTTATGGCTGGACACTGGGATGGAAACTGGCATCTCAAAGTTGGGAGGTGGAACAGCCTGTGGAGGAGAAACAAGGGAAAATCCATGTGAGATAGACAGAAGGAAACTAACAGAGCATTCAAGTACAGACAGCATTAAGTTCTCCAAGAAAAAATTTTGAATTTCAAACCATGCAGTGTGTAGATTACCGTCAAAAAGGGGTCTCAAGATGTGCAATCATAAATTGATTTCTTCACTGTGCTGAGAACTCTTTCTTTGCAACTGCTAGGAAAGGTTTCACTTCTTTGTGAAACAAAGCCCCGTTTCATTAGACTCCATTGTCTTTGAATTCCATTCTATGAAGTAATAATTATTCATTTGTGATATTTGAATCTGGTGCCAGAAATGACTACAAGATCAAAGGTACATGACTGTGATGACTTCACAGAGAAAAGGGGGGATTAAAATGCAAACCAGATCCTTTGGTTTAATTGCTTATTGAAGCATATTTATGCAGAAGTTTAATGATATAAAATCATCTTCAGGCTTGTGAATAGCACATATAGTTTAATTATTATTTTTAAAAAGTCTGTCTCTTAATAGCAACTCAGAGGATAATAGGCATTTTACGGTACAGGTTTCAGCAGAGTATGTATCATTCACTAGCTCACATTTTAAAGTGATAGCTCAGAAAGTACAAAGCTTCACATTTTGCTGTATAGGTACTATCCCTGCCGCATGGCAAGATCTATAACTCAAATGAGAGAGTTGGCAAATATTTAGGGAGCTGAAGCTGTGCGGATGTCTAATTAGAGCGATCCAGGTTCCAATTATTGATTTTTTGCTATTATTTTGGCAATTAAAGCAAAATTATGTTTCTGTTTCTGCTTGCAGGAACTCATCATAGTTGTAAACACTCTTGTCTTTCTTCTTTTGTCAGCGATACAAATGAAAATACTGTTGAAATACATGCCAGAGGACTCATGGTATCAAGGCATACAGCATTAATAATGAAATACTGCACATGTGTGTATACACACAAAAGACACATATAAGCCCTCTGAGGTTTTCAGTAAGAAGCGTCCAAGTTTACTTGGACATGTTTATTTTGACTCAGTTGGTTTGCCATTATTGCTTTGAGTTTTACTACTTCTTTCTTTAGAGTTAACATCAGCTATTGGTGACTGACTGACTGGCTGGCCTTCATTATGCATTGTGTCTGCAGTAATTCTATGGTAATGTTGTTGATAGCTATAATGTGTTCTCTCATAGTCTTCATGTCATGTTTTTATTTTCTTCCATGCTATAGAAATACTAATCCTGATTAACGCAAATGTTTTACAACTTACTTTCAAATGTCTGACTTTTCACTGTTTTTAAGGGAAATAAAAATGCTTGTGACATAGCAGTACATCTGTCTTTTAGGTCATTTATGGCTTGTACAAAAATTAACAGAAAATGATCTTGGCATAAACTCGATGTCAGTGGAATATAAATGCTTGGTAATATATCAGAGCATGGTGATATGCCCAAATGTCCAAAGCCCCATTGAACAAGAAAAAAATTAATATATGCTGTAAGGTGACTTTAGCGTGGGAAACATATCCCTTTCCTTACATGCCAAAAGAGAATAGAAGTCAGCTGTAAAGGCAGTATAGTAAAATAGTGCTAAGCAGTCTTGACCATCCAATCTCTTCTCTCTGCCCTGGGTTCCAGAATATCAACTAGGCTTTTTGGCCACTGGGGCAGGCGGCGGCAGCAGCAGCAGCAACAGCACCAGCACCAGCACAGAATAGAGGAGAGAGGCCACGGCCTATTTTGCAGCAGCATCCTTCCTGCTAGAACACAGCTGCTTTCATCCACAGAATGAAACATCTTTCAGTGGCTCTCTTATTTTGTCCTGCTCTAGTGATTTCTTGCTTTGCTTGCATCATTAGGCCGGCAGGTGACAGCAGCTTCTAGACTCCAAGTCCTAACATACTTCAGTACTCTCTCATGTTTCAAAGTGTGCAGTCCTTTTAACAATCTCTCTTCAGCTATACTCTTGAGTTTGGCACTTGTTTCTGGCTGTAATCTCAGATCATGATATTAGCCCTACAGATTTGGGGTGGAGACAGTCTGGAATTCTGGGTGGACATGAGAACACCCTTGTTCCCAGCACCCTCCTGGTGATTCCTGCAGTTGCTTCTTGATGGACCGACCTGCTCTGAACCTCATCTTCCTGCTTTTATCTTTCAACACACAACAATCAGAGTTCTGATCCTTTGGAGCACACACTAGATAACAGCATCTCTCTGATTTTTCCCCATGACTGTGCCCATTTTACTTAATGTAAAAGTTCCACTTCTCCAACAGCCTCTTCAAGTTTTGGCATTTACCAACCTGCCAGGCCATCCTTGCCCGCGTTTTTCATTTCTGACCAACTACCATGATTAACTCCAGTATCACATCCAAACCTCTCCTTCAAACCCTGCCATCTCCAGGATGTCCACTTTGACTATTCTATTTCATCTGGCAGCTTGCTTGCTCCTTACGCCCATCTGTGGATCTCTTTCTCATCTCTTAGATTGAATACAGTTTTGATGTTGGCTAGAAATGGTTCAGTTCATCAAAGTACTCAAGGTCTCTCACTACAAACAATTCAAAACATACTCTTTGCATTATATATTTGAATATTTCTCTGTAAAGGAGACTTTTGTGAGGATATACTGTATTAAACTAAAAGGGTAAGATTACTAGATCCTATAGGCTTTCTATTGATAGGCACTAGGGTGCGTAATTTACATACTTGATGTAACTCAGTATCCCTTTGTTGTGCATAAATTTTTTCTTCTTCAAAATAGTAAAATTGAGAAAATGGCCCAATATCATCAAATTAGTGACTGAATCCTAGGTCATTATGCAGTACAAATTAGTATTTTGAAGCAAATAAAATCTTGCAGTCAGAGGTTCTACTATTTACACATATTGGGTATTAGCAAACTACCATCCATGGGCCACATGATCAACAAAGTAATTCAACTGAGGCCTTGGAAAAAACAAAATGTAAAGACCCCCCTTCTTCAATATTTACTCAAAAGTCCACACTTTAAAACTATTTTTGATTCTAAATGTTTTAATTTGTACTCACTGTTCCTATTTATAATTATTCCACTTTCAATGGGTCCCTAAGAATCGCTACAGAGCTTAGTTTCTCCCCATACTGAATAGAATATTGACTTTCCTCCCTAGAGGACCAAGTCCATCTCTCTTCCCCTAAGAGATTATAGGCACATTCACAATACAGGAGGTAATTAATAATTATGCAATGAATTCTTTGGTATCCTACCAACCAGTTCAGTGAAAAATCACTAAACTCCTTTTCCCTCCTAAGCATTACCCTGAAGAATTATTGAGCTTCTAGCATATTGGACCATAACAACTTGAAAAGGATCACTATAAAACTCATTTGTAATTGGTTAAATGGCAGGCAGATATATTCCTTTATCAGAGCAGGCTTAACCAGTTTTGAACTCACATGATACACCAACATCACTGGTGTACTCTGTCAATTGTTTCACTGCTTCTAGCCATGCCAGGAACTATCTACAGTAATTTGAAAGTAGATTACAAGTTTAAAATGACCACATTGATAATGATGTTTTAGAAAATCAAGGTTTGCCTTTCCCCAAGCAATATCAACTGCAGCTCCAGTTGTAGTAAGTTGCCATATAACCAGAAAGCCATTTAATACCCTTGACCTTGTTTACTTATCCATGCAAAAAGATAGTTGCCTAGATAAAGACACTGAACATTTCTGGATGCTTGTGGAGTAATGGAGAGGGTAGAGTAACCCATATGTTTTGAAGAAATTTGCCTTATTTTTTTCCTTCTTGACTTTTCAAAATTAGGAACCTTCAAAAGGTTTATATTAAAACTTTTGGGATCAAAACCAGAAGTTCCCTAAAGGTGATTATATCATGGCAGTCTCTAAATGTTGAGAAGATTCAGTTTTGGAAAGTAGAATTTGGAGTGATCGGAGTGTTGTGAGTAGACCTGGCTCTCTAACTTACAGCTCAAAGAAAAGTGAGCTGAACTGTTACTTTAAGAACGTGAAGAATTTATCAAGTGACAGCAGGGTATATAAGCAAGCCCATCTCTATCTCTGTGAGAGCATGTGGTCCTTGCTTAAGTGATGCAGACATGATGGCTGAGAAACTTGAGGTTGCTGTCTCTGAGCAGTGGCCATGGTCCCTGAGGTATGATTTTCTAGACAGAAGGGCATTTGAACTCTTAATCTTCTCCAACACTCCACCCAGAAAAGTCCAATAAAAATCAAACAATACATTTTGATAAAATATTTGTTTTAGTTAATGGACCTTCGTTTGTTCATGTGAACAACTGAACTGCATCCTCTGTTTTGTTGTGTTTTGCCACTAATAGAACTATATATACCAAGATCCTAGTAGAGAATAAAAACATTATACAAGTCTAATGACCAATGACTACCAACTGCCAATATCCCAATTTCTTCATGGCTTTCTAGTAGTTATAGCATACACCTGTTCATTCTCTGTATATCCTCAATGTACAGACATTCATTACTGTCTGAGCACCTGCCCTCACTTTCCCTGTATTCAGTTTCTACACAATAAGTATGGGTGATTATATAGTCACCCTGACCTAATTTCACTCTATTCACTGCATACCATAAACCCAGGGTGCTTCTCCACATTGCTATAAATTCATCTTGTTTGTTAGTTTCCATCCTCCTCCTCTTTCTTGAGCTTTACCATCTTGTCCCTGACAGACGTATGGTCTCATTCTTTTCCTTTCTTTCTTCAAACATCTTACTTTTCATATAAATTATTTCAACTCATTTTCACATTAATTTTTATTACTGATTCTAGGTACAGCATAATGTCTTTCTCTTCATAGCCCATCAGCCTGAGGAAAATATGGACATTTCCCCCCCATTTTCTCTCTTCTCATTTCTCCTAAAGCAATTTTGCTTCTACCTCTCAGCCATTCATCCCTTTTGCTAATCCCGGTTTGGTTCCTCTAATGGAGCTGTTTTTGCTCACCATGGTTCTCAGCATGAACTGTAGCACACCCAGCAGGAGGAAATGCTGGTCGACAAGATTCCAAATCATCCATGAATTATTTCACATAATTGAGGAACATGGGCATAAATTTTATTACTCCAACAGGTGACTTCATATTAAATTTTCTATTTTAAAAGGGAAATGCATCACACTGGTTCTTTGAAATAGAAACACAGTCTTGTAATATTTTTAAAGAGTTCAAGACTCTCTCTACACACAAAGAGCAGAGTGTCTTTGCCTTGCTGTAAATGTTTTAGCAGCTGTAGAAATGTTCACTGAAATGGACTTCCAGCAACCAAGAGCAATGAGTGAAAACTGGGCTTCTTCCTATGGATGCTGAGACACTCAGTGAGACATGAAGACTCTGTGGCACAGCTAAAGGCCATGTGGCTCCTTCTTGGTGCTTTGCCCACAGACTCTCATGTGGCTTTCACCTCCTGCAACATATCCTTATACCTCTTAACAAATCAAATATCTTGATTTTGGACTTTTTACACGACAAGGTGAAATATCTCAGGGAATCTAGGTGAGTATCACGTCTTCTTTCCCTTTAAACTGTGGGGAAACTGACCCATGATTACCCTCTGAAACTTTGGGGGTTCAATGTTTCTCCATATTTAGGCTCACCCTTGCTAAAAATTATCAGCAATATGGCGGGTGTTTGCCTTTTTCTGATCTGTGCAGAGGATTCATTTGATCTGAGGTACGGAAGGCATTGCCTTACAGTTCTACATTTAAACCTTTGTGCACACAGCTTTCAAACACTCTATTCTATACATAGCAAGAAAAACTCAGGCTCTAAGAACTAGCTGTTTACCCAAAGGCACTGTTTATTTCTCTTTTCCAGGTAAAATAAATTTGGTTAGGCATTTTATCATTTAAGAATTTTGCACACAGTTAGCAAGCATATATTTATTTCTTCGATGGGTAAAACACTATGAACATTTGTGGAGTTCTGGAAGGAAACAAGATCTTTAAGACTAGGAGAGTATATGGGAGGGTTTTGAGTAAGGAAAGGGAAGGGAGAAATGACATACCTATATTATAATCTCAAAAAAAGGATTTAAAACATGAAACTTAAAAAAAAAAGCTGTACTTCTGACATTTCATTTAGCAAGAGAAAAAGTAAGCAGTCATGAAGACAGAGTTTCTAATAAGCACAATTTTGCAAATAAATTTTAAAGGGTTCATTTCAGCCAGTAGAGGCGGGAGTGTGTGCTGTCTGTAGAAATGAATCAATTTACTTTGTGAGTGCAGTATGGTTTACAGCTTTTCACATCAAATATCTACATGTATAATCAACAAAGCCCATTTTCACTGCAGATCTGTTTTTAATACTCAGGTTTGAGCTGCTTTGCTAGCTTACCAGAAAGGCATTTTTTTTCCCTGAAAAAATTAATTATGTACTGAGAAGCTTGTATACAAATTAGAATTCAGGTACTAACATTATTCACAGCACGTGAGCTTTGAGTGTAATCCTTTTATGCTACAGAATTAACATTGTTTGATTGATAACTGAATCCAACAGTAGGGTAACCATTTTCTCCTATACATTCGAATTAACAAAATAATACATGCACAGTTATTTTTCATAACTATCTGGCAAGGCATTGATTGTTAGAACATTTCTGAATCGGTTAAGACAATAATTTAGCCAAAAGTTAAAGCATGGAAAATGTTGGTATAGGCAAAGCTGATAAAATTCAGATAAGAGCTTTAATATCACACAGACATTGAAGTCTTACCGTTAGGTTTCATGCAGCCTGTTTCCTGCGGCACATTAGCTCTAGCCCTTCAGTGCTGTTGTCGAATTTCATGTGTGTGTGAGGGGCAATGTCATTCAGAAACCAGTCTTTACTTAGGTCATGACTGTCAATGTACATGATGGAAAGACTGTTCCACTCATGTATCTGGTCTTTGCATACCAAACTCATGTAGAAAGCAATTCTCTTGTTGTTTGACTGTACTGTGATCTGTGTGAGAACTTCATGTTTCAAAGGCTGTGTAATTTCAGGGCATGTCACATAGAGTTTTCTCTTTCTCCTGTGAACTCGTCTACCTCTGAATGAACTTCTCCATGGCAACTCTTTGAGATTATGTAATTTCAGTATCCCACAGGGGGGTTGCTTTCTAAACGCACTGCCCGTGGGATGAGATGGCTATTTTATCTGTCTGACTTTGCAACGCTTCTTAGAGCAAGCCATCACAGAGAGGGTTAAGGTATGTTACTGTAGCAGTTACCAGCAGATCAGCCATCTACCTTTGGTACTTACAGGAATTTTATGACTCTTGATCATATTATCAAATTCTTCATTAATTTTTTTGTATTTTTCTTCAGTGCGTGGGGTGAGTGCATAAGAGGAGTCAGGATCAGGGCTTTCACAGCCTTTGTTTTCTTTCTTGTTCAATGCCTGCCAGGTTCAGAGAAATATCAAGAGTAAAAAAAATGAAGGGTGGTTTGAGTACTTACACACAATCTTTGCCTGCTGATCATTAGATCAATATCTTCGTTAATTTTCCTGTACTTGTCCTCAGACTCAGGGCTGTGACCTACTGAATCGTCCGCATCGGGATCTGGGCTGTCACAGCCATTAAGGCCCTTCTTTCTCAATGTCTGAAATACATAATGTGGAAAGTTCAAACCTAGACAAAAGCTGTAAGAGATATTTAGGGATTTATAGAAAGTCAAGACGTCCAGCATTTCAGATTATTACTTATGTTATGCTGCATTTTTAAAATAGAAATCACAAGGAGAGACTGAGCCATTTCAACAATGTTCATCAATAGTTTAACAAGGAACTATCATGTTTGTAGCTAAATTCAGTCAATGAATAAAGAAGGTAAAATCTCTTGATATGGAATTCAGACAGAAATATTTAATGAAAAATAATAGCAACCCAATACAATGTGCGAACTGCAAAGCAACACAGTACTCTTTCCCCACAGAAATAAACAGTCAGGACGTTGCACAGTGAATTCAGAACCTGAGGTGAGAAAAGCAGAAATGTTGCAAACATTATTTCTGGATTTAGTGTAGAAGTTGGCATTATTGTTCCATTCCACCCCTAGCACCTGACAGCAAAGGGCATAAGAGAAGCCAGCTAATCGCAAAGTACTTACAAGGAGGAAGCTCATTTGGAAAAAATTATTTTTGCTTGTTAGAGTTCTGTGTGAGATTCTGTATTGAAATTTCCAGTATTGAGAAATTATCTTCTCAGACAGGAGCTAGAAGCCAATAGTGGGATGGCTGAGCTTAGGGCTTCATTATCCCGAGCTGAGTAAGGAAGACAGCACTGTATATAGGCAAGCAAGTCAGTAGATATCAAACGGTAAAAATGCCTGGTTTCAGCTAAATAGGGATGAGCCTGGGACTCTTCTGACACACGAGAGTGAAGTCAGTGGCTTAGCGCCAGCCTCCTGTCTCCTGGTGTAGTCTGCTCTAGTTTCAGCTGTCACTAAGGAATAAATACTAAGAAAACAGCATAACCATTTGGAAAAGTATGAGTCAGGAGTCTTGAATTTTATTCTTTTTTAAAAACATGCTTTTCCATGAAACTACGTACAATCCAGTGGACAGAAACAATGTTGTGGTTTTGAAGATCATAAAACTTTTGATTAATCATACAACTTGACATGTTAACAATTAAGAGTCTCACACACTATTTCTTATTTTTCTTGGTATTGCCAGGGTTGGTCACAAAGGGTTGAACAGCTAAATAGCTGTTCTGTCACTAATGGGAAGTTCTGCAGCACTGATCCGTGTTAAACACAGAACTTAGATACAAATAAAGCAAAAGCTCAAGTGTCCAGTCAAGGGACTGAAAGCTGAGATAACATGTATTTCGGGAAAATAAATAATATCATTTTCCAAAGAAATGTCCAGCCTGAAAATTCAAATCCATTGATTCTTATCAGTGGGCAACAAACATAATGCTACTTAAAATTAGTTTTTGAGGCATTGAAGGCTTGTACTTAAAATCGAATTGAGAGCTACCATTTCTCATACATCTAGCATATAATGCAGCTCTGTAAATATTTATTAATGTTACAGTGGTATAATATAACAAACATATGGTTACAGTTTATTATGTGGTAGGATGTTTGAATATTAAAATGAATATTTTGACACAAGATGGCAAAAAATACATTTGTAATCTTGGGGAATTTTTAATTGGTGGGGCCACCTGTCCCCCTCACGAGTCTATGACCATAGATTTTGGTCTACAACAAGTACTCTTTGAGAATTCCCACACTAATACTAGAAAGGACATCACAAAACACTAGGATGATAATTCCATTTATTGATGTCTTACATTTTAAACTCTTTTGCTAGTGTTATCTCAACCACACAAACATTCTGCTTGTGGTATTTTCAATGTGTTTTTGCTTTGACCTCTACAGATTCTTGAGTTTTAAGGAAACAGAGTGTCTTGGATTACAGTCTGCATGTGCGTGTGTGCGCTCATGAACGTGTGCATGTGCGTGCAGGCCTGCCTGCCTGCCTGCCTGTCTGTCTCTCTGTCTGTCTGTTAAGAATTCACTTATAGGGCTGGAGAAATGTCTCTTCACCAAGTAAGTATGAGGACATATTGTTCTAACCTAGACTAATGTAAAACGCTGGGCTTGATGATGTGGACCTGCAACTTGTCACCCTGGCACAGAAGGCAGTTCCATGGAGTTAATTGGCCAGCTAGTCTATCTGAATCAGTGAGTTTCAGCATCAGTAAGGGTCCCTGCCTCAAAAATTAAAGGTGGGACATAGTCTAGAAAGGATGTCTGATATCAACCTGTGACCTTTACATGCTCATACACATACATGCAACCACACACACACACACACACACACCCCTCCCTTACCCACACCAACAATCATTTAATATCACAAGCAGAAATAGAACATACATAACAACTCGCATACATGATTTTAAAGAATGAAAAAATTACTCATTTATAGCAAAGTAGGTAAGATCAAGAAAATATCTAACAATCTCCAAAAATTGTTCCTTATTTATATTTCTATCAGGCATATTAAGATATTCTCATGAAAACCTTTAACTTAAAGCCTCATATTATGCTAATAGAGTCTTAATAGACAGTAGATTTTTTCAATGTGTGTTTTACCCAATAAACTTATTGTAAAAAAAGTATCGTTGTTTTGATATGCAGACTTCTGACAACAGAACGCAAGGGTTAGAAGAGGCCTATCAACTGTCATTACAATCCATCTGGCACATACATGTGTGCTAAATATTCTCCCGAAGCTTTTGGGTGGGTAGATACTGTGACTTATAAAAATTCAAACACTGCTTATATTTCAATGAAATACCTCCACAAATGTTAACTCATTCTGTCTCACAAGTGTTTTGTGAAGAATTTAGGAAACCTTATGACAGATCTCAAACCAGTAGTGCCCGCCATGGCAACTGGAGTTTTGGTCACTGCTTGGGGACAAGAAGGGGTGGCTGACTTTTTCATTATTGAAACATTTTGCTTTTGAGAAATGAGGAACACCGACTTTATCTCTTTGACTCAAGTTCAATTGCAGCAAGACCATTCAACATGAGTACAAATTAAGCTGAAAATTTAATGATTTGGGTTTTTGGAAAAGAACTTCAAGGACGAAAATTCTCTTTGAGACGGGGTTTCATGTAGTTCAGGTTGACACTGAACTTGCTATAAGGCTGAAATGACCTAGGATTTCTAATCCTTCTGCCTCTACCTTCCAAGTGGTAGGATTACAGGTATGTACTGTCACTTTTGGTTTGTACTGTGCTGTGGATCAAACCCAGGGCTTTGTCCTTGGGAGGCAAGCACTCTACCAGCTAAGCTATGCGCTAGCCATCTGGTCAACAAAACAATTTATGGATTAAGACACCAAAAGCATCACTAGCCACTTTGTACCTGAAGCATGGTGTGAATCACTGAAAGCAAACAAAGCTGGTGGCATGGAAATGTAATGATTTTTCTCCCAATAAATTCCTCTTGTGTCTGATGACATTATCTAGTAATAAATATGACTGGTATGGAAGTAATGATTTAAGCTAAATTGTGTTATTTGTAAAAAAGAGCTTTTTGAGAACTAGAAACACAAAATCTGAGAGTAAATTAATATCAAGCTCTAAATGCCCATAATCACATAACCAGAACACTGGAAAAATTGTTCAAAAATATTATCCTCAGCTGAGTGCTTGCATAACATATTTCTGCCAAGAACAAATGATTATGGTGGAATTATAAAGCTTGGAAAATGGAAGTGGTGGCACAAACTTGAATACCAGAGTGTGAATGCAGAACTAGAGGAACAGTTTTATCTTTATTATATTAAAATCTACAGCTGTTTAATGATGACAAAGGAACTACTGTTAGCCTCAGCCAAGTCTGTCTATTCACAGTAATGAATAGTCAATATGAGCTAAAGGGCTTACTAAATGGATTTGAAGCGTATTCCTTTAGGGCTTTTCTAGCAAAATCAAACTCTCTGCTGTTGGCCTTGAAAGCATCTCTGATCTTTTTATAAGTGTCCTGGCCAGGTAACATAGGCACTTCAACAGCCATTTTGGACTAGAGATAGAAGTCCTATAGATGGGATGTATGTGCAGTGTCCCTCAGATGATATTTTGATGCAATCTTTTTCTGTGTTCCAAGAGAAGGCAAGGTATCTACTGAAATCACCACCTTCACTCACTGTATCTAAATAGACTACCCCCCGAGAACTCTGCAAATCTTCTGTGAGCCTGTACACTGAAGCCAGCTTGCCACAGAAGAGTGACACTTTTGGGCTAGATCAATTGACTGCAGAGGCTTCTGGGGTATATTCACAAGGTGTGATTGTCACACAGTGAGCATAGAGCTGCTGCTCTTAGAGAAGTAATTAGACCAACAGAAGGTGACATACCCCAAACAATAAATGGGAGAAGTCCAAGCAGGTAATCCGACAATCATGTGGCATCTCTACGCCCAGACATGTGGACATATGGACCTGCATTATTACATTTGTTCACCAGGAAAACCTGAAATATGTAGAAACTGATGATGATAGATGACAGGTGCTCCAAAATTCTAATGAAATAGATGTAGGGTAACAGATTCTATTTCATTACTGAAAAGAATATAAATGAAAAAGAATGCCACATGGAGCTTTTTTTCTTGTCTTAGGCATTATGTTATCAACTAGACAATCCCTTCCCTATGCAATGATTTAAACTGACTTTTCCTTTTTAACTATGTATTGTTTCAATTCTTAGTTTTCTTTAAAAAAAATCTCTTCTTAGTACAAAAGAGGCACCTAAATTATTGGCCCTTTCATTTCTATGAAATGTATATATCTTACTTTAAGGCTATTTAAGTAAAATTCAACATTTTTTCAAACAATTACTATCTCATATTAGAAACTCAAACCAGCCAATTACTCTGTGTCTGTAGTTTCAGTTCTGAATAACATATTTTCATTGTCTTCTACATTTTATCTGCATCTAACTATACAGCAGAAATTTAATTTAAAAACCTTTTGTAGAAAAACCCCAAATTGCTCTCATTAACCTTTGTCAAAATCCAAATAATTATGCTTTCTTGCATAACGGGGGCTTCCCTCACTTTAGGGTGTTCATGTGTCAA